AATCATCATTGTCACCACCACTGTCACCCGCCATGTTCAAAAATTATGGATAATCCAAATGAGGACAAACTTGTCACAATAATAATGTTATTATTAATACTATATTCTAATTGGGAATATAATTTTCAAAGTTTTGCTATAGAATAATAATTATATGTTTTTTGCAAAAATAATTAATATGTTATCGTGTTTAATTCTAGACACCCCTTCTCTAAAACTTCTACCTCCGCTACTGGCCTAAAGCTCATGATAAGTTGGAAAAGGTATCCACGGCCTCAAAGGCGCCACATCATCCATACCTCACTCAATAAATTAGTGTCACATTGACACAAAAATTCCATGTCATGACTCTAATCTAACCATTAATTTCCCACTCTCCAATGAAGATTTCTTATTTGTCTTGGACCTCCAATACTGATGACTAAGACTCTCCGACGAGCCTCCATCGTCAGTGACTAAGGCCACACTCTACCGATAAGAACTTTCTTATATAAGTCTTGTGAAGATTTGTTGGATTTAGAAGAACATATATATACTTTGGTTATTTAGAGAAACTAGTTGATTTGGTTGTTGGGTTTTTAACTTTGAATTGGTTAATCCACACTTTGATATGGTCATTAGGACGCTTCCTTTATATTTCTAACAAATCTGGTTCTGATTTTAGAATAATCTTACAAAATAATATTCTTCATTTGTTCTTTCTTAATTGATCATTGGGCTTCCACTAATGGTTTTGTCTGCATGTTATTTTTGCCGCTAATGTGTTAATTTTACTTCCTCTGATGGGTTATTTTGAAAGCCCCCAAGTATCTTTGCCAGAAGAAGGTTTGGATGTTAGGGTTTAGTGAGGGCTGAGGCGAAATAAAGAAATAAAACATAGGGGGGTTGTGAGGCTCGCGAGCCTCTGTTCATCTTCCTAAGTCCGTCCCTGGTCATGATTATGACTTTGATGAAGCTTGAGAGAAAATAGACAAAAAATTGAGAGAGAGTTGAGAAGAGTTGTAAACTGAAAGGAAGAAGATTCTATTATTCCACTTGTATTCTAATCTTTACATCTTCCTATTTGTACAACCTCAGCTCAAGAATTCAATCATGTGCACGAACAATGATGTGCACAAACGGAATTAACAAAAAAACAGCAACAACCACTATTTGTTAACTAAAATATCTAAGCATTTATTAAAAGCCCTTGAACTTTGAAAGTCTTGCATGATAGCCCTTATCTTTTGCGTATCAGTCCTGAACTTTGTGTATCAGTCCAATAGCTTCCAAGTCTTCAGCTTCAGCTTCCAGGTTCTCATCTTCAGCTTCCAAGCTCTCATCTCCCAAGGCTCTTGACTCACTCGACTTCCCATCAGCTCCTGACAATTTTCCTCCCATTAAATTTGTCCTTGACTTAAGGTCAAATGTAGGAAACCTCTTAACCAAGTCTTAATAGGATTCCCAGGTAGAGTCCATTGAAGGTCGCTGTTTCCACTTGATGAGAACTTCAAAAATCAAACGATTTCCTTTAATCACTAATTTTCTATCCAAAAATACTTCAGGTTCATCAACTATATCTGCCACATAGCTATGAAAGTCACTCTGAAGGACAACATCAGAACCCATCCTTCGTTTAAGCTGAGAGACATGAAAAACTAGGTGGATTCTAGCTTGCTCAGGGAGAGCTAACTTGTAGGCGACTTCACCTGTCCTTTTTAAAACTTGGTAAGAATCATAATATTTGGGAGAGAGTTTGTGAGGCATGAAGATACACTAATTTGCTTGTAAGGTTGGAGCTTGAGGAAAACCCAATCACCCACATCAAAGCTCCAATGACTCCTATGTGTGTCTGCAAATTTCTTCATTTGTTCAGCTGTCTTCTTCAAGCTATCTTTCATGAATTGTAGAGCTATATCTCTAGAAAAGAGCATCCACTGTCTCAACCTTGCAACTCTTAGGAACATAAGTAAGTAAAGAAGGAGGTGGTCTACCATAAACTGCCTCAAAAGGAGTAGTATGTGTAGATATTTTCCAGGTTGTATTATACCAAAATTCAGCAAGAGGTAGCCACTTACTCCATTCCTTAGGCTTGTGGCAACAAAAACATCTCAAATAACCCTCCAAATTTTTGTTAATGATCTCAGTTTGCCCAACAATTTGAGGGCGATAGGTTGAACTAAATTTCAGTTGACTCCCTTGTAATTTAAACAATTCCCTCCAGAAGAGGCTTGTAAACAAGGGGTCTCTATCACTCACTATAGACTTAGGCATGCCATGTAGTTTGAGTATTCATTCAAAAAACACCTGGGCTACTGACTGAGCAGTGTATGGATGCGAGAGTGAAAAAAATGAGCATACTTAGATCACCTGTCAACCACCACAAAAATAGCATTTTTATCCCCACTCTTTGGTAACTGTGTAATGAAATACATTGATAGATCTTCCGAAATATAATCTGAAATAGGTAGAGGTTGTAGGAGCCTTAGGGATGCTATATTCTCTCCTTTAGCTCTTTGGCAGATGTCACAAGTTTGAACATATACCTGAACATCCCTCTTCATACCCTTCCAGTAAAAAGCCGTCCTCAGCCTCTATAGGGTTCTAGTGATTCCAGAGTGCCCTGTAGTAGGACTATCATGGTGCTCCCTTAGTAAAGAGGATTTGATGCATTGATCATTAGGGATAATCAAAAGTTTACCCTTGTAGTAGTAAATTCCCCCTTTCCTGTAATATCTCTCAGTATCCAATTGCCCTTGCTGTAACTTTGCATCAAGCTCCTTAAAGAAATCATCTGTAGAACACATGTGCTTGACCTCCTCTAGCCATTCACTGTTAATAGTAGTGATAGCTGAAACCTCAGTGGCTTGTGCTTGAATCTCCTCCTCACTATCATGAATCCTGCATAATCCATCTGCAGCCCTGTTCAATCTGCCTGGCTTGTACTCCACACTATAGTCATAGCCATGTAGCTTTGCAAGCCACTTATTCTGAATATTTGTGTGAATTCTTTGCTTAAGTAGATATTTGAGACTTTGATGATCAGTACTAATCACAAATTTCCTCCCCAGTAAATATTGTTGCCATCTCTTTGTTGGCAGAATAATTGCCAACTCTTTCTCATAAGTGGAAAGTGTGACATTCCTCCCCTTTAAAGCAAAGCTAAAATAAGCTATATGCCTTTCCTTTTGCATCAACACAGCTCCAATTCCTGAACCAGAGGCATCACACTCTATCATAAATATCAAGTTAAAATCTGGCATGGCTAGGACCGGAGGATTGGTTAGTGCATTCTTCAAAACTTTAAAAGCTTCTTCAGCACATGTATGCCAGGTGAAATCCCCCTTCATCAAAAACTGTGTTAAGGGTTGTGCTATTGCTCCAAACCTCTTGATAAATTTCCTGTAGTTCCCTGCTAGACCCAAGAAACCCCTCAATCCCTTCACTGTTTTTGGCAGTGTCCATTCAACAATAGCCCTGATTTTATTAGGGTCAACACCAACCCTGTGATACAATATGTCCCAAATATTCCACCTGTTTTTTTTTTCCAAAGCTACACTTTGATATTTTTGCCACTAATTGATGTTCTCTCATGATCTGGAATACTTGTCTTAGATGGAGTAAGTGATCCTACCACCTTTTACTATACACTAATATATCATCAAAGAAAACCAGGATGGACTTCCTAAGCAAATCTTTGAATATAGCATTCACAAGAGCTGCAGACGAAAGGCAGTGGCCATTCAACAATAGCCCTGATTTTATTAGGGTCAACACCAACCCTGTGATACAATATGTCCCTAATATTTCACCTGTTTTTTTTTTCCAAAGCTACACTTTGATATTTTTGCCACTAATTGATGTTCTCTCATGAGTCCACAAATTCAAACTTCTTACAAAATGAGAATACATATTTATGAATTGATAACCATAAATTGTACCTTAGATACAACTTGCAAGTTATATGCATTGCTTTGAAAGTTGTAATACCTTCAAGTGCAGTGAAATGTGGTGCACCTGGACCAAAAGACAATCGCTCTATATCATACGCTCACAGTTTTATGCAAATCGATTTTGGACTAACCAGAGTTGCAGACGAAAGGCAAAAATGATTTGGTAACAAATGCATATGACTTGCGAATATATTGAATGTCTCATTGCACAATTTCCTATCAAATTAATTTTGTATCATCATCTATTCTATCAGGCATTTTAACTCGCACTGTATTACACACTTTTTTACATCTTTTCTTTTCCCTATTCGTACAAACTGGTGAGGATGGTGTATTAATGCACACAACTCCTTCATAGCAGGTTTATAGAGGGAAATGCATATGTGGCTATTTTCTAAGAATTCATATTGCTAAATATCCTTGCCGTAATATTAAGGTGTGTAATTACCGTGTAGTCATTAAATATAAATTTTAAGCAAATACACATCATATAGGTCATTTATTATGTTGAAGTACCCATTCATTTCACACAATCAACTAGACATCTATAACAATGCGTCATATTTTCTTATGGTATATTTGTGATTAAAGTGGAAATCATTATTGTCCAGGATTTTGTAAACTGATATATAAATACCATAATTTTATATTCTTTTACCATAATTTGTTTAAACATATAGTTTAATATATGCTATAACAATTTGTTTAAACATATTATTTAATATGCTTTATAATTTTAATTATACAATAATAATATGTAATTAAAACTAAGATGACGGATGTCCCAAGTGCAATGGTAAAAAGGAGGCGGTGTTACATACTAGTTCTTTATGGTGTGCCTCTAGTGTTTCTTAACCCAAAAAGAGCAACTCGGTGAGAGTCGGAGCATCCAATAACTGCCAAGGTCCCCACTTTCTCCCGAAAAGCTAAAATTCCCATTCACCCCTCCATTTTCTTTCAATATTTTTGCCCACCCACATAAAAAATTACTATAGAGGACACATTCGATTAAGATAATACTTATCAACCCACTACATTATTAGTAGATAAGAATAAACGAATAAGATAAGGGAAAAGATATCTCCAACGAGCATTAATCATGTCTCCTTCCTCCTCCTCTCTCAAACCCTAGAGAAAAAAAACCAGACCCTAGGAAAAACCAAACCAAAACCGTTCTCGATGTCTTTCAGAAGTATAATGGACGAGATCGGGAGCAGATCGAGGAGAGGCTTCGACGTTAAGCGCTCCGGCCTCGATCGCATCGCGGCCTGCGGTGCGTCGCCGACGGCATCGATGATTCGGCGGCGGCGATCGACGCTTTGAAGCAGAGTTGTTGGGCGAACATGCCAACTGAGTTGCTGAGGGACGTGCTGATGAGGATCGAGGAGGCGGAGAGCTCGTGGCCGCCGAGGAAAGATGTGGTTGCTTGCGCTGGGGTTTGTAGGAGCTGGAGGGAGATCATGAAGGAGATTGTGAAGATTCCCGAGGTTTCGGGGTTGATTACGTTCCCGATCTCTTTGAAGCAGGTATAGATTTTGGTTGGTGTTGTCAATTGTTGTGAATTGATGAGATTAGGGTAAAAAAATCTTATTTTTTAGCGGTCATTTGATCTATTTATTTTGTTGAACCCTCTTTTTCCATTCAATTAGGTTAGTTGTACCAAAGATTTGACAGAATTTAATCACCAGGTGAGAAATACAATCAATTTGCTTTAGGGAGTTACATGCAATGGTAACGAATAGTTAAAGAAAGATCTGGAAGAGGCATGTTGCCTTATTTGTGTATGCCTACCTATACTTAGATTCATGTTTGATGTTTTATGAGTTTTATTGAG